CCTTTGACCCAGCTGTCAACCCACCTTGGTGGAGCGTGCCCGGTCTCGTGTCTAGGTTGCCTAAAGCTCCTAAAGCTAACTGGCTGTTCCTCCTCTTTGCAAGAGGGATGACTTTCAATACTGACACTGTTGGCACTCCGTCGTCTTCAATGCTTGCTTTGTATATGGTCATGACATGACGTATGGTTGTGACGATTCATGCTATCACACGTCATGTTAACCTTTATGCAACTGCTTGCAACCGCTCACTTGGAACTATGCACAACTGGACGGAGAGATGGCATAATGATAAGATAATGAACGAGAAGAGCTCAAAATGCGAAGCCACGCCCATGTTTAGCATGAGCAGCCCGCACAAGACTCATGATCATCAACACTATTCGCGAGCCGGAACTAGACGAACCATAAACAGGGCCGTCCACGGAGCCTTGAAGACCAAACCCGAGCCCCTTACATCTACTTACATCCCCAAGCCTAATGCCTTGCATATTATGCGTCCGTCAACACTCCCCAAGACCCTCAAAGACCAAAACCGGAAACTCAGACCAAGAATCCACAGCCCGGTCGAGTCTAGGATGACCGCACGCCGGCCCACCAGGGAAATGCCGCTATTGGTCACTGAACACCTCGGCTCTTAGTGAGCTTAGGTGGCTTAGGGTGTGCTTTGAGTGCTTTCGGGGTATTTAGGGGCTTCGGGTCTAGGGTTGAGGGGCTTGCTCGCAGCAGCTGCTGCTGATGCTGTGGTTGCGGCTGCAGCTGCTGTGGTTGCGGTTGCGGTTGCGGTTGTGGTTAGTGTTGGCGTTGGTGCTGGCGTTGGTGAGGGTGTTGGTGTCGGTGTTGGTGTGGATGTGTCTGTTGCTGTTCAACCATATCTTGGTAGAGCTTGAGGACTGTTTCTTCACCCTGAGGCATGGTGCGCCGGTGCTCACCAAGGATACCGACGTGCTCGCTCTGTCATGGAAAATCCGCCGATTGCACTCTAGACTCTAAACCCTTTAATCTCAAACGCCCAAAGCCTTCAAGCATCCTCCTCCCCTTGTCCAAGATCCAGGGTGCCGTTGCATCCAAATCCGCGTCACGTTTGCTTGGACGCGGTTGTCGTCCTCACAATCGAACCCAGTCGGAGCAGTCGTGGAACCCGAGGAGGCAGGAGCAGCAGCAGCAGCACCACCACCACCACCACCACCACCAGCAGTATAGCGGTATAGCAGTTTTGCAGCGTAGCAGCGTAATGGTGTCAACCCGTAGGACAAGTCGTGCTGCGGTCAGCAGTAGTCGTCGCATAGGGCTGGTGGTGGTAACGGAGCAGCAGCAGCAGCAGCAGCAGCAGCAACAGTAGTCAGCAGTAGCATGCTCATGATCATTGCGACGATGCTTGTTTCTATAACATCAGATACAGGAAAAATAACGTGGCACAAAAGTCCGAAAAATGCCACGCCTACCCTTGGCCGTCTCAGTCCGTCTTCCAAAGCAAGTAGGTCGTGCCGTCGGCATCGCGGAAGAGATGTGGATCAATGTCACCGCCCTTGCTGCCACCCAAGTCCAAAGGTCCTCAGGGCTTTCGTTTCTGGCATTTTGGTTTCGGGCTGCAGAGGATTCGCATTCGGAGCTTCGGGATGTGAAGTCTGCGTTGGAGCCACGCTGAGCAAGGTACCTCGAAACCCTGCGACCCAGGGCCAAGACACGCAGAAACCAGAAATCTCCACAAAAGAAACACGCGCAGAAAGCCCTTGAGCCCAACCCAGAGACCCTCGAATTAGCGATTCTTAAGATCAAAAACTCTGCAAGATCAAGACACCTTCGGCGTAGCGCGACCAGGACCCGGCCGTTCTGTTCGATCCACGGGCCAGGGCCCAGCCGATGCGATGCTCGCCAGAAGGCTGCTTGTCCTTTTTGGGGGCGCAGGGGGTTTAGGGTTTGAGAGGGTTTAGGGGGTTTAGGGGGTTTAGTGGTTTAGGGGTTTAGTGGTTTATGGGTTTAGGGGTCTAGGGGGTTTAGGGGTTTAGGGGTCTAGGGGTCTAGGGGGTTTAGGGGTTTAGGGGTTTGAGGCTTTAGGCGTTGAAGGCTCAGGGTCTTAGTGCTTGGGGCTCGATTTTGGGCTGTCAGGTTTTGGGGTTCAGGAAAACCCCAAACCCTCGACCCTAAACCCTTAGGCCCTAAACCCTAAACCCCAAGCCCTAAACCGTAAACCCTAAACCCCCCACCCTAAACCCTAAACCCTGGTACCCCTACTAAACAAGAACAGACCAGCGTCGCAGAAGACCAGGACGTTCAAGGACTCGTTGATCTCGAGGGCCTGGCCAAGCCCTTAATCATAATCCCTAAACCGTGGGTTTAGGGTTTGGGGTTTGGGGTTTAGGGTTTAGGGTTTGGGGTTTGGGGTTTATGGTTTTCGGGTTTGGGGTTTAAGGGAAACCCCAAACCCAAAACCCTGAACCGTTAAGCACGAGACCCAAACCCTAAACACGAAACCCGAGCCCGAGGTCGAGCTGAGGAACTTGAGCCCTGGGCTCAGGGCCTCAAAAATGCCGAGACGTGAGCGTATATGCCTCATTATCAATATAAACGTAAATATCCAAATACAAAGATAAGTACACATAAGCATGTAAATGTGTAAACCCAAAAAATATAAATACAAGTATGTATGTGTACGTGTGTGTGTATACACCTATACATATATAACAATATATATATGTGATTCTATATGTGTGTGTGCTTGTGTCTAAATGAATAACACCCCTAAACCCCCAACCCTTTCAGCCTGTGCCCTGGACCCGTTGTGGCTCCCTACCTCCGGTGCCCATCGGTCCCCGGAGCTCGCCCAAGGCGGCGGGCGTCCTACGATTTTTGGGCTTGGGGTCTAGGGTTTATAGGGCTTAGGGATGTTTAGGGTTTAGGGTTTAGGGTCTACGATTTTTGGGCTTAGGGTTTAGGGTTTAGTCGGGAAGTTTGGGGCTTCAGGGTTTGGGATGGAGGGGCCAGGCCCGAGAAGTTGGAATCTCGGAGGTCCATCAAAGATGACACCGAAATATGGGAAAAAAGACCAGAATCCCTGAACTCTGCTTCCTAAACCCGACAACCCGAACCCGGAAAGAACCCTCTCTGCCAAGAAACCGTCGAAGCCTTGGCCCTCCATGTATTCCAAGGTTACAGGGAAGAGGGGCTTCAACCTTCAGAATCATAGAGCCACCGAAGCCCCGCACGCAGCTCGACTGCAATCTGAAACCTAGACTCCCACAATGCCAAAGCCGCGAACCTGCAACCCTGCACCCTACTAGTAACTAGTAGCCCATGAAGTCGTAAAGCATCGAAAACTCAACAGACGCCTGCCAAGGCTGCCCCGACAGGTGCGAGAGCACTGCCGGGGGCCAGGTGACCGCGGAAGAGCGGGAGGTGACCGCCGGTGCAGAGCAAGCGAGCCCTCAAGGGCTGGGAATTGGGGTAGATTGCAGATTGTAGTTGGGCTCGGAGGGTTTTGGGGGGCTCGAGGTTCCGGATGCACAGTGGGGTTGGGAGGGTCTGGGTAGTAGAGCGGCTTTGGGTTGAGATGCCCGCTTTGCCACTGTCAGCAGTACCAATGCCGGACACATGACTGCCTATCGTGCATTTCTTGACCCTAGGGCTTGTGTCCAACCCCAAACCCTTCCAGGCCCTGTAAAAGGTACCTGTTCGTTTTTTCGCTTACGAGAGGCAGCCCGTCCGCTGCTTTCCAGGCAAAAGGATCAGCACAACCGCCTAAGCGAGAGTTGACCAAACAAGGGGCCTCTAGGCCTCTACGAAGTTGAGGCAAAACTCTTCCGATGCAACAGTGGCGATGGCCATTCCCTCTGTTCGCACTGGTTACGCCTCGGCAACTCCTGGTCCCCACATGACTATACTTACTTTCCAGCGACGTATCCCAGAACCCGAGTCATGCCTTACGGCTCTGCCTAAGACTCGAAGAGTTTTTTGCCTCGGGCTCGCCTTCGGTGCTTCGCTGGTGGCGTGGCTGGGAGCCGCTCAGCGGATGCCTTGGCACGGCCCCGGCTTCCCCGCAAACCTGACAGACTCCGATCTGCCTTTCTCAAGGGTGTTGGGGTTTGAGGGCTTAGGGTTTAGGGCTTAGGGTTTGTCACATCTTTATGCTTTGAGAGTCTTGGGAACACTCCTACTTCAAGAGCAAGAGCATTTGGAGTCTCCGGCATACGGACCGCAACAACTACACCAAACCTAGAGCTCAGGGTAAGGATTGCAAGGCAGATTAGCATGAGGGAAGTGCACAGTCCGGAAACCCCCTACGGTGCAATTGCGGGGTGGTGATCGGCGAGGACATCCGACACCCCAAAGCTGAAACCTTGACACCTAGATCCTAATCACTACTCCCTCAAGCTCTGAAACTGAAACGAACCAAAACCCGAAACCAGGACAGAGTGCCAATAGAAGGCAGCTGCTTTCGAGGATAGGGCAAACGAGGACGCTTCCTGCTAAGCAAAGGATGGCTGTCAAGGGTGTCTACAATGGGGATCTTACGGTTCCGACTAGTCGACATGTGTACGAAGGTCCCCATCTTCAAAAACTCCCAAGCGTGTGGAGGACTTGGGTTTCATGTCGAGGAGCTTGCATCCTTCATCACCCAACATCATATGAAGAAGATCCTGAGTGTTTGACTGCTTTCCGCTGACCTTTGGAATCATGAAACGAGCAGTCCCAGTCTTGCGCTTAGAAGCGCTCTCAACCGAAGAACGTCGAACTCTATTTCAAAGGTCTCACATTGGGAACAGCCATCGAAGGCAATCATCGGATCGCCCGAACAGGTAAACGGACAGGCCTGGGCAAGGAGTCACCGCTCAACCTTCCTCGCACATGTCTGGCACGAACAGGCTTGCAATCTTGCAAGAGACACTGAATGGCCACAAGGTCTCTAGTTTACCCCAAGCACACTCTGAAAAGATCTAAAGACATCCCTCTCGAAGCTGGCTGAATGATGCATTTTGTCCTTAAGCATGCTGGTGCGAAAACTCCTACGACTGCGGTCGAAACAAGCCTCTGGGACAGTGGAAGAAGCTCCGCACCAGCGTGACCACTCGGTCAGCCGCCTCCCTATCCGAACCGCACTCCCTTGCAGCACCCTCTATAAGGGCTATAGATTCATGCAGCAACTGGGGAAAACATTGGTCCATCAGCCCCAGAGTGTACTTGTTCGTGATTCGGCGCAGGTGGGGGTCCGCATCCACTTCATGCAAAGCAGCATTATCGAACGAAGGGCAGCGCCAATTCTCTTTCACGAAGTGCAAAGTGGCCAGAAGACATGCCTGCGGGGTTCCGGTCGAGTCGAGTCGTCCTGACGTGTGTACACACGCAGAGCAAGATGTGAAACTGTAGCGTTCCGGTTCAAGGTGCATCGTGCAGAACTCAAGGAGGGGTATAAGCCAGTATAAGGCTGCTTAGGGTCAAGAAGCTTAGGCTTCAGGGGTCCATGCAGATTGATTTACCGGACCTCGAGACTCCTGTAACACACCCTTACACAAGGTGTGAAGCATCGACTTCTGGTGCGGGGTCCTTTGTCTTCGGCTGCCAGCACCAACAGCGGAATGTGCACGGAGATCAGGGGAGCCTTCTTCTTGCCAGAGGTCTCACTTCCTCCATCGGCTTCGTGCGCGCATATGCGCACGTAGACATACCCAAACAAACAAACAAACAAACAAACAAACAAACAAACGCACACACACACAGACAGAGAGACAGGAGGGATATGCCTGATCCGAACCCTCATGAGCGGACAGGTTCCCAACCCCTTCCCCAACTCACAGAAGAAGTCGTCCTCGAACGGGTGGCAGAGCTTCATTCCTGAGCACGAGGCTGTGCAAAGAAAACAACACCCGTCTTCAGATCCACGGCCAAAGCATCACAGTCGGTCTTCACCCTAGACAAAAGGTTCATGATTGGGATAAGGTTTGGCGGTATGCTGTAGTATGACGTTGTGGGTAATAAGGAGGAATAATTTTGGGTGGTTATTCAGAGGCCTCTATATCAACCTTCAGAGATCTTCCCAGAACGAGACTCCAGAACTTCAGCGCCCTCAGCACGAAGAAGGCATCCTTCTTCGACTCCGAGAGTTCCTGCAACTTCGGGGCCAGTCGTTGGTGCAACACGGGCTGCCACACCTGCAGGACGGGGGGCTTGAGGTTTAAGGGTTTAAAGGTTGAAGGGCTTAGGGGCTTAGGGTTAAAAGCTTTTGGGACTTTTGGGTTTAGGGTTGGGTGTTGGGGGGCGTCTGGGCATGAGGCCCATGCTGGCGCCGCAGCAGGAAAACACAAACACATTGAGTAATTCAGCGATACAGTAGCCGCTAGCTTCTCCAACCACGCAAGATCTCAGAAATTCTCAGGGTATCACTGAGGCGCTAACTGGACTGGAAGCAGATGATGGTGCAGAGGATGAGGTGGTGGTGGTGCTGATGGTGGTGGTCATGATGGCCATGGCGGTCATCATGGTCATGCTGACGAAGGTGGCCATGGTAGCCATGGTGATGGCGAATGCAGTACGTGCTGTGAAAAAGCTGCTGGTGTTGGTGCGGAGTTTTCATCAGCCATGTCATCATTCTTGTTCCCATCTTTACCACACCTACCTGCGTAGGTGCTAGATTAGGTTACTACGATTACTGCAGCTACAGCTGCTGCTGCTATACTGAGATTGCAGCTGCTGCTGCTGCTGCTGCTGCTGGTCTAGTACTGTGACGACGACGACGACCGCCACCTCCACCACAACTACACACGCAGTACTGCGGGAACGTGCCTGCCGGCATGGATCCCACTGGTAGTCGCCCTCGAGGTCGGGCCTGTTGGTGACGGGGACCAGGTCGTAGTCCCGGTGGTAGTAGTCAATGAGGCCCACGGCAAAGTCTTTCCGCACCACGGTAGCCCGTGCGAGTCGTGAGTCCTCACTTGCTTGCTGCTGCAGGTCCTTGAGCACCCTGTGAAGTGTCTCCACCATGTCACTTCCCCCATCCTTGATGTGCAAGAAGATGTCATGGTCCGAACCAGGAGTGTCTAGAAACATGCCAATGCTCCCCCCACGCGAGGTGTTGAGAATTCGTCCTGCGAGCTGCGGGTGCTTGCGAAGCGGACCCAGGATTTGCTGCCGAATCCGATGTGATCTCCCCTGTCCGTGGGATAAACCTTTGGCATGCAAGAGGGCGGCAAAAATCTCCTGTGCAGTTGGGCCATCGGATTCCGGGCCTGTCTTGCTAGGTTGCACCAGCCTGCGGTATTCAGCCACCACCATCGCCACCAAAACGTCACGTGGGAAGGGCTCCCTTCGGACCCAGCCCTGAATAACAGACTCGCTCATTCCGGCTGCATGGAGCAAAGCCTCAGCATCGTCGGCTGCAACAACATCAATCGCATTCTGCCCTGCCTCCACCTGTGGAAGATCGTACTCGAGCTTGTTGATGATCTTTCGCATGTGTTTGTCACTGCCCGCAAGCTTGATTACTCGTCGTCCTTTCAGTCCACGCCTGTTGATTTTCTCGCCCAACCGGCGCCAGTTGGCAAAGGCATCACGAACCAACTCTTGAGGAGTCCTCAGCGGTGGCCACCTAACAACCTCCTTCGTGCAAGGGGGAAACATCTTGCCACGCCGTTCCCCCAGTCCTTCGCTCGATCCAGACATGTCCGAACCGCAGTGCGACTCCTCATCCGCTTCTCCTTCTCCCTCTTCTTCCTCGTCCTCTCCCTCCTCCTCGTGCTCCTCCCCCTCGTCGCCGGCCAGGGTTTCTGAATCTTCGAAGCCTTCGTCGTCGTCTTCCATGGGTTGCCGGCCGGCTAGTGCCGCGCGGAGCAAGGTGTAAAGAACGGGGAGTCGAGCCAGGCGAGCAAAGTCCGGCCCGAACAAACGCGCAGACTCCAGCAGAACTCCCATCGACGGCCAGGAGTCGAAGCTGGCCACCCAAAGGAGCAGAGCCGCCTGCCGCTCTTTCGTGCAGCTGCTCGCTTGCCACTTGACGCTCCCACGCTTTCCAGGAGAGGAAATCCACCAAAGTGTCTGCCCGTCGATGGTCTTGCGTTTGCTGCAGCGGAAGCCCCCTTCCTTTGCGAGCCTGCGCCAGCCATCCGGCGGAACCTCCAGTGCGAAAATTGACACGCACGCGTTCCTCAAGTGGGTCACCGTAGGGCTCAATTGCTCCAGCTGGAAATATTCCAGCAAACACGTCAGAAGCGATCTCGGTGGCTCCCTCAAAATAGGCGAGAAAAGCAACTGCACAGACTGTTGGGTCCAAGCTTCTTTCATGCTTCTGACCGACTCCTCCGGATTCCCCCAATCCTTCATGTTCCACTCCGTAGCCAGGTCGCCACGTTCGGCCGCTACAATCACCACCAGATTTCCCTTTTCCAATTCTGAAGCTAGGAGACGTAGGACCGCCTCTTCAGCGCATCTCTTCTTCTGAAGCAGCTTCGGCTTCAGAACTTGCAATGACAACCGAAGCTTCCCTTCCATCATACCCTCCCAGAGCACGCTGCGCAAGTCCTCGTCTTCAACTGCACAACTCTGATCCGTAAGACCTTCCGCCAAGCAGCGCTGCTGTGGTCCGGATGCCGCATGCGGAAACTTGCGATGGATCTTGCGGCAAGCCTCTCCCAATTGGCACACGCCTTTCTCGTGATCATGGCACAACTCACGAGCAAAGCTGCCGGCATAGCTCCCGTGGCACTGCTGGGCTGCTTGGGAGCCTCTGGTAGGCAGTACTTCCTCTGGCGTCAGCCCCACAACGCCCAGGCGCTTGCGCTCCCGGTACTCCAAGCCCGCTGCCTTCCAGAAGGTCTTGTCAGCAAGGACGTGCAACACGGGGCCACCAAGTTGCACTCGAACAACACCATTTCCAAATTCTGCCAGCTTTGGCTCACTGATGTCTTGCCTGTTCTTCAGATTGCTGTGACAAGCCCAGTGGGCTAGATCGTGGCAAAGCTGCAGAGACACGGCTTCCTTGTCGGGTTGCTGGCCATAGTGAAACCTGCGGTTCTGTGTCAAACCCCAAAGATTGAAAAACTTACATAAAGAAGCTGTGTTTCTAGACGAAGAATGAAGATGAGAGACCCACAGCGAGCACGAATACACAAGGATGGCAACAACAGAACAACCAACTGGTGCAGTTGAGACTTGAAACATGTCTAGTAACATGGATTCTGCGAGGCTGCCGACAGAGAAGAAGCACTGGAGATTGACGCGCTGCAGGAAAGCGAAAGTAAAGTCCTCGTATTCGAAGAGGTCCTGCCGAGAAGCGAGCTCTACCGGACACATGTTGTTGGCCATGGTTGCAGTATATACACGCGAGCATGACTTGCTGACCCAGCCAAATCGTGAGTCCAGCTTGTGATGGCTTCTTGAAAGTGGGAAAGTGACAAAAGTGATCTACATCGGGGATGGATACAGTGTTAGATTGTGGGTGGTAGCAGTGACCCGAAGTTGAACCGCTTGCTCTGCTGCATGATCCGCATGCTCGTCCTGGTTCGGCTGGGGTTTGCCTTTGAACCGAATGGTCCACGGCGTTATGCCCCCGTTCGACCAGCCTTGTCTGACCTTGGTCATGGCCAGCATGTTTTGCAATTACCTACACCCTGAACCCGAAACCCTACACATCCCACACAGTCTGGAGCGGATACGGCTGGAACTTTTTCGGTGATATCAAGGACAACGCTTGAAAGGTCTGCACACTCCTCAAAACTAGGTTGAACCTTGTAGTCTATAGGCACTTTTGGCTTCTTCTCAACAACAAACACTTGCAATAGTGCTAGCCAAGGTGCTTCCGTGTCGGGCAGTTGCTCGGCCAGAGCCCTCCAACGCTCTTCACCCGCGCTCAAGCCCCAAGTGGCCTACTCGGACAGTGGGCGAGCAATTTGAGTAAAAGGCTAGGCTAGTGTTCATCTTGCTCGTCGTCGAGCAGCACTAGACAACCCTTATCACCAACAACCCTAGGCTACCGCTGCTGGCGCTGCTCCTGCTGCACATGCCAGTACCAACGATGCTAATGTGGCAGTCATTCGTCCAAGAGTATTGCGCCACCATTGTTGCGAACACCAACCAAGACGAAGGCTATGAGCATCCAAAAACATGACTACCAAATTCTACAGATATTGCGATTTATGCCCGCGATTGCTGTTAGTCGTACTATCTCTTTGAGATGCTGCCTTTGCTTCTTGCGATGCTTCCAGCTAATGTCGGTCTTCCTCTGGGGAGGCCCCCCGACCATGAACTCTGAAGCCACTGAACCCTAAACCCCAAACCCCAAACACAGAAGCGGCCTTGCCGAAGCGTTGGAGATCTTGGGAGGTCGGAGTCCCGTGCGAGAAATGCCGGAGGGTCACTCGGAGAAGCTCGGGAGTCCTCACTTGACGTCAAGTGGTATGGCGCATGCGCGCAATGCTTGTAGCTCTTCTGCTACCACTGGTGGTGGTGGTGGTGGTGGCGGTGGCGGTGGCGGTGGCGGTGGCGGTGGCGGCGGCGGCGGCGGCGGCGGCGGTGGCGGTGGCGGCGGTGGCGGCAGTGGCGGTGGTGGCGGTGGTGGTGGTGGTGTTGGTGGTGGTGGTGGGGGCGGCGGCAGTGGCAGTGGCGGTGGCACTGGCAGTGGCACTGGCAGTGGCAGTCGTGGTCGTAGTCGTAGCAGTAGTAGTCGTCGTCGTCGTAGTCGTAGTGGTAGTGGTAAGGGTAGAGGTAGTGGTAGCGGTTCTGTAGAGGTCTACGCAACACCCTGTCGACGAAAAGCTTCTGTTGAATTCAGTATAACCCGAACCCCAAGAGCCACCAAAAGGACGTTAAACTCCCCACGACCCTTCAACGAAAACCCCAAACCCTAACGTCACTAATGTCTGAGACTCGAAGTCGGATAGGTATAGGTCTGGGCAGGCTGCGCTGTGTAAGTGTACGTCGGATAGGACACAAGCTGCGAGGAATTTACTGCGCCACTGGCGGCGGCAGCGGCCGAGGATGTCATTGGAGCTGCTGCCCGGGATGAACCCTGCACAGGGGCATGGGTGATCGCAGCAGCAGCTTGGGATGAGCCTCGGCCTCGTTTGCACAGCTGACATCTCCATGGCAGGAGATGCAAACGGGGCCGGTGCGGCGTACACTGGGGGGATCTCGGGGGCTGCGGGCGCTGCGTAAATGGCTGGTGCAGGTGGGACGGTCAAAGGGGTCGGTTCAGCCGGGGCAGCATAGGTCATCGGCTGCTGCTCAGGGCGCAGCTTGCCGGTTTAGGGTTTAAGGTTCTGTGCTACATTAGAAGCTATGTGGACGCGAATTCAGAACTCGTTTCGAGAGTCGTCGTCTTCCCCGCATAAAGACATTGCAAGTGGCAGTGGCAGTAGCATTAGCAGTAGCAGTAGCAGTAGTAGCAGTAGAAGTAGTAGCAGTTACAGTAGCGAGCAGCAGCAGGAGCAGCGGCGGCGGCGGCAGCAGCGGTACGCTGAGAAGTGGTTCTAGCTGCGTGCGTTTATTCACAAGATCTATTTCATTTGGAACCATTTAGCACGGTAAGACGCATGAACTACCTGAACAACTCCGAGCCATTCACCCCCCGACAATAGTCTTAAGTAAGGCCGAGAATCAGCTGAGGACATCCTGGGCATGTCACTACCCAAATTGATTGGGATGTACGTTAACTACCAGGCTCTTCATTTGTATGACCAATGCAGCAATCTGAAGCTCTAGGCTGTCAAACTCAAGCTTGTGGGCATCAGGATCAAACGGTTGCAACAGAAGCCGCAAGCAATGCAGACTAAATTACACGCCTGATGGTGAAGAAGACCGTTCGATTCCAGACTATGACTCAGTCAAGTGTCTAGGAGAGAGAAGAACATCGCGGCAGTCGTCCTCCAGCGCCATTTCCAGCCATCGCTCCCTCTGGTCGTACGGAAATGTGCTCTCCGTACCAATGGGCAAAGCCCAGAGCAGACCTCGCTGCCAGGCGTCTTTGAGATCGCTGACTGGCACGCCAGCCTCCACCAGCTGCTTGCTCGGTATCCGAAAAATCGGCGACTCCTGCGGGGCTAAACTCACAGCTGCATGTGCTTTGCAGGCTTTAGGGCAGTTTAGGGTGTGCATGGACCCTAGACCCGTTGGACAATGTGTGTCCGTGGGTCCTCGGAGGCCTTGGCGTTGAAGAAGCTCAGGAGAGAAGGTGGCAACTCCAATGAGGCCTCTATCTGCAAAGGGAGTGCTTCGGTAGCACCCTGATTGCCGCAGCTACGGCATGTCAATGGCTTCAGGCCAGAAAAGCCCACGAAGTGGTTGCAGCTTGCAGCGGGTTTCCGCGGCCGCACGCAGGCGTTGCAAGTTTTCTCCACATCTGCGACGTGATTTGTTTTCCGGCCCGCGATTGCCAGGGCGCAAACGGCACCGCAGATGCTGCCCAGTATCCTGTGTTTGCTGCCACCCGGGGCCTGGACGTGTAGTGCCGTCCCTTCCCTGGCCAGCGCAGTGTGGCCCACGATGCTACGGGGACGATAATTTGAGGTGCAACGGGCATGAAGCGATAAGTTCTTGAGACGGATCATGGGCTTGGCCATGGCTGCCACCTACATTGACCTGCATAAGACTGCGGCAGGAGTGCACCAAAGGGTCCCAAAGCCAAGAAGCTGTCGGTTCTGGCACTTTGGTCTCCAAAGTCACAAGGCATTGATAGAGCTTTGTCTGTTGATGCTGCACGGCCGGAAGCAAAGACAATCAAGCCTTAAGCCTTAAATCAGCTAACGCTGCTACAAGTCTTGTTCTTGCGAAGTCTGCAGGCTCGTTGGGTGTAAACCTCGCGCACTATGCAGAAGCCCCCCTCGATGCTTCAGCAACCTAGCTGTGGTCGTCTGCGCGGTCTGACAGCTTAGACAGCTCACAATCGCGGTTCGGCATAGGAACCTTGACGAACCCCAGCCCGGCCCCAGCCCCACACTCGATCTTAGTCTCTGCAATGTCCTCGCCGCAGATTGCAGCGACCCATTGCGCCGCACAGCTTCCACGCCCCACAGCCTAAGGCTGAAAGGCGCTTCAAGGTTCAGGGTTTCTGAGCCATCTTCAGGATATAGGCTGTGCTTTGGGGGGCCGGTGTTACAAAGATCACAATGTAATGTAGTATGGTAACATAAGTTACAACATAATCTAACATAATATAATATATTATAACATATTTATATTACCATATATTATTTTGGAATAAAATATGTTATAATGCAATATATCATAATACCATATAATATATGATATTTCAATGGCACCAACATCTCCAAGGACCCCGGCCCGAAGCTCGTAGGCTGAGGAGTTCCGGTGCAGCTCGAAGCCAGGAAATGTCGAAGGCTCGAACTCCGACGCCTTCGCGGAGTTAAGGTATCAGAAATATTACGCACCATTATGTTCTACTCGTATTCCACTATACTATATAACATGTCGAATCATATCATATGGTCTCATGTTATAATATGATATAGTATGTCGTAGTATGTTGTAGTCTAGTTTGTATGTACATGAGAATGTATATGTGTAGTATGTGTATTGGTATATATATCTATATATATATATCTTTTCCTAGACCGTGTGTAAATACATAGGACATACATACACCATAAAGAGAGAGAGAGAGAGAGAGACACCGTGTACATCTGTATATGTCATATATGTACACATAGATATGTATATATACATATATATGCAACTGTATCTATATGTATATGTATACATATGTATGTACAGTATGAGTGATATGCATATATGAGAATGTAACTCTATATATATATATATGCGTGTGTGTATGTGTATATATATATACATGTATATGCATTTATGTCACGTACGTACGCATGTATGTACGCACGTATGCACGTATGCACGTATGCATGCGTGCATGGATGCATGCACGCAGGCATGCATGTATGCATGCATGCATGTATAGGTGTGTGGGTGTATTTATGTACTATGCATGCCATGTGATACATGATGCATGTATGTGTGTGTATGCGCAGGTGTGTATGTATGTATATGTATTGTGCATTTATACCTGAATACATGCATACATATTGCATACATGCATGCATGCATACATGGGTACATGCATACATACGTACATGTATACATACATACATACATACATACATACGTACATACATACATGTCTCATCAGGTCTTTTGGGCGGTCTTTTCTTGTTTCGGGTGGCGGAGGTGTTAAAGAACTTAGAGGAGGTCGAGACATGGACTTTAATGGCCTGGGGTTGAGGTTGCGGCATGATCGAAGCTGTTGAGTTTTTGCCGTGGGGCATTAAACCGTTTCTACAGGAAGCAGGGTTAAGGTAAGCTGCTGGGTTTGAAGGAGATTCCCCAGCTTCGGAACTTGTCCAAGAGCAGGGGTGTAGGTCCGCGGGAGTTTAATTGTGGTTCAGGTCCGCATCTGGGTTTCGTTGTGGTCCGAGCTACTGAGGGTAACGTGCGGCGTCAGAACTGCAACCAGTTACACTATTGCAGCGCAAGCGTTTGTGCTGCCACGATGCCGCCCAAATCCGACTGTCATGGCAGTCGCTAGAGTAAGCCAGGCACAGCGCAGCAGCGTTACAGACTCGCCAGACGCCTCTCACAAACTTACACGCAAATGGTTAGGGTGATATAACTTGCAAAAATACTCTTTTTCCTGGGCACCGTGTCATTCTGGCTCCGACGTGGCTTTCGTTTGCTACATGTAAGGCCCCCTCTTCGCAAGTCATGGAGCAGACGCCGCTCTTAACGGCAACACTGACGTTGGATAAACGCGATTGACCACAGACAGGGCCCGAGCTGGGAATCCCCCGAGCGATCCCAATTCGGGTTCCTTTGGAGGTCACACCTGAAAAGGAACCGGAAGTCCAAAACAACCCAGAGATAGTTTGAGGGCTGCTTTGGATGCACGCTTTGGCGCTTGGGGCTGCAGGGCTTTCGGGCTCTAGGGGGTTAAGGGCTTCAAGGTTCAACTTGGGATCTAGGGATGAGCACCGAACCAGCCTTCTCGCGATGTTCCCTTCTGCTGCACTTGCCACTGGGCCACGGTTCTGCTGAGGCCCCCCTCGGCGACGAACCTTCGGCGCCGGATTCCAGCTTCCGACCACCATCCCAACCACTGTCATCGAGCAGAAAAAGACAATACGAAAAGGAAAAGCAAGATCCGAAGTAGCAGAAGCAACAAGAAGCACTGAACAGCGACACCACCACCGCCAACAACTATCAAAGTAAACCCACCACCACTCCACCACCATGAAGGCCTGAAGGAGCCCTTTACTACAGCACCTGCGAGATGCGGCCCAGCAGCCGAAAAGAAGCCTTGGGCCAAGGACTGGTCTGGTGCAGGCGACCTCCCAGTCGAGGATAGCACGGCGCTTTTAAATTGTAAATTACTGACAACAGTAAAAGTAGAAAAGAACAATGGGAACAACAACGAACAGGAATCATGTTCATGGTAGTAGTAAAGGATAACAAGAGTGATGAACACAGTAATGGCAACGATGATACCGTTGATAGTCATAATAGCATAACAATGGTGGTAGTTGTGATCATGATTATGGTATTTATAAACAAATGCTAAAAAATAACACAAATCAAACAAGTATAAGTACTGATAACTATAACAACAACAAAAATAGCAGTAATACGAGCAGAAACACTAGAAATGTCGATGATAATCATCATAGTGTGATAACTATAACACACATGATAAGAAGGACAATAATCATGATGAGAAGAATAATCGTAAGAATAATTACAATACTACTAGCAACAGCGATAGCAACAGTATTTGTATTGTAATAGTCATAACTAGTAGTTAATAAGCATAATAATAATGATAACAGCAATAACAATAATAACACTACTAATAATAGCGATGATAACAAAAATAATAGCGAAGATAATAACCGTAATGATAAACAAGAATTATTAACTACTATTATTACAGGTGGGAATACTAACTAATCAATACGTAATCATGACAACAACACTAAGAATTTAGAATATTTGGAATATTCATATCTAATACCTCATAACAGAATAAGAATAAGGAGTAAGAACAATAATAACACCGACAACAATAACAGGGTCGGGGCTTTTGGGCTTGATCGTCAGACTGGGAATGGATAATTCGGGTTTCACCAGCTTTAAAGTGTCTTTGGGGTTGTACATAACAGCTGGGCTTTGGGGGAACATTATAATGTGTGTCAGGGTTAATTCGGCATGGCATGGCGTACATCCACGAAGTGTGTCAGCATCCCATCACAACCCCAAACCTCCTCCAAACCTGCAAGCACCCCAAACCCTACACCCCAAGTGGCATCATCCCCAATGGGCCACAACCACAACACCCAGGGCTAAGCACCTCCAGGGCGTAGCTCACCCCCTCGTGCGGTCGGAGCGGGGTGTAGCCATGCGCCGACAGCCACAGGAACGCGAGTGCGCGAAGCATTCTCCAGAAGCACTGAAACTTTGAATCTGGGAGCCAGACGTCGCGGTGGGGGCTAGGGCTCTTTGAAGCGACACAGGTCACTGTGAAGAAAGGTGGCTTTTCTGGTGCTCGTGCTGGGCAAGCATACGGGGCTCACGTCTCGGTCTGGAAGGAGGTTCAGTGCCATTCGGACTCCCGGATGGTTTGAGGAAGAAAACAGGAAAAGGTCGGAGCGAGCCTGGTCGCTGAGCGCGGAGACCAGCTTCAACTGGGCATGGTCTGTTAATCTAGGAGATCAATAGTTACAACAAAGCTTTGGATATTCTAGAGTTATCAGAGACGACAAAGCAACACTCTTTGTCTAAACCCATAAACCCGCAGCACAATCCAGACCTCGTACCCGAGGTTGCAGGCATGCACACATTACCCATCCAAAGCGATCTCCCCCGAATTCCGCCGAAAAGTCCAAGACGTCCCGAACCCTAAAGCCAGGGCCCTCGAGTGCAAGTTGGAAGACGGATGCAGGCCTTGAATGACGACGAGAACGCCTCAGAGGCAGAGGAGCATTCCACACATCGAAGCGATTCGGGTTCAAGATTTGGGGCATATTGTGTATTGCAAGCATAAGATATCGTAAGTATACCGGGGCTACGAAATACTTTATTCAGACCTCTAGACCACGAGAACTTCAGGGCCAATCAAACCCCAAGCAGCGAGCCCGCAACAGCCCTTCTTCCAGCTCCAAGAAAAATCCTCCACTCTGAAGCACCACAGCCAACGAACGACCCTAGAACCGAAAGCCTACAATTAAAAATCGAAACCCTCAACATGCGAAGTGAAGCCAAAAATTACGAAAACAAAAACAAAAAAAAAAGAGATCGCATGCCCTGGCCTGAAGCTCGCGGGGGACCTGCTGGATGTCACCTGCACCAAGCCCGCTAAACCAAGCGGATCGAGTGGTCGAGCGTCACCAAAAAAAAAAGAGCCTTAAAAATTAGAATAGGGTTTTGGGGCCGAATATTCTTTGATTACCACAAGGAGCCCCCAAAATAGTTTCGGTAACTCTCTAGGCCCCTACATTAGCCGAGCGCCGACGGACAACCCACACCCTTCCTGTCTTTTGCA